AGAATAATAATATAATAATGAGTGCGGAGAAATAGCGCTTGGGAAAATGGATTAAAAGATGAGAAGGCCAGAAGATGGAAGATGAAAATTAATTAAGGAGTGTGCGGAGAAAAATTAGCGGGAAAATGGATAAAGGTGGAGAAGCAGGAGAGGAGTTAGATGGGAAGATGCAAGATAACGTATGGGGTGAAGGAAGGTAGAATAGGGGGGAAAGACGGTAAAGATAAAGTGGAGGCAGAGAGGTGGCAGATAGGAAGATTTGAAAATTAACGTATGGAGTGAAGGAGAAGAAATGGAGAAGAGAAAATGGAAATATTAAAGATAGAGAGGCAGAGTAGGGAGTATGCAAAATTAAAATGATAGTGGCGGAAGAAATAGGAAAGACGGATAAGGATAGAGAGGCAGAGATGGAGGAATGATAGGACGGAAGAAAATTAAAATAATGAGTGGGCCGATAGATAATTAGATGAGATGAAAATGGATTAAGCATAGGGAGAGGAGTAGATGGAAGACTGTAAATTAAACGATGGTGAAGGAAAATAGGGGAAGGGAAGAGGAAGGAGATAAAGTTATGGGGCAGGATGGGCAGTATAGGAAGATGGAAAATTTGATTTAATGTATGGCGAAGAGGAAATGGTAGGGGGAAAATGGAATAAAGATTAGAGAGGAGTAGATGGGAAGATGTAAATTAAAACGAATGGGGTGAAGAGAGAAATTAGATCAGGGAAGAAAGGCTAAGAATAAAAACTAGACAGTCGGGCATGAGTTATGGGCAGATAGGAGTATGAAAATGATAAATGACGTGTGCCCGAAGAAATGGGGGAAAAATGGGATAAAGATAGAGACGGAGGTAGATGGGGTAAGATGTAAATTAACGGATGGGTGAGGAGAAATTAGGGGAAGAAGGAAGGAGATAAAAGTGTTGGCCAGAGATGGCGATAGGAAGATGAAAATGATTAATGATGCGCGAAGAAGAAGAAAATGCGGTGAGGAAAATTTGGATAAAGATAGAGAAGGAGTAGAAATGGGAAGATGCTGTAAAATTAAAAGTATGGTGGAAGGAGAAATAGGGGAAGACAAGGAAGGAGATAAAAAAGTGGGGCAGAGATGGGCAGATAGGAAGAATTCGAAAATTAATAATGAGTGGCGGAGAAATAGTATGGGAAAATAGTGGATAATAAAGATTAGAGAGGGCAGAGAAAGGACGAATGGGAATAGGCAAGATGCCAGATTAATGCTTTATGAGTGCCGGCAGAAATAGGCAGAAAATGGATAAATGATTAGAGAGGAGTAGATGGAAGATTGTTAAATTAACGTGGGTGAAGGAGAAATAGGGAAAACGGATAAAGAATTAAAGTGGGCAGAGATGGGAGATAGGAAGATGAAAATTAATAAATTGGAATGTCGGAGAAATAGGGAAAACGGTAAGTAATGATAGAGAGGCCAGAGATGGGGAAGATGGGAAAGATTGAAGATTAATAATGAGGTGGCCCGGAGAAATAGGGAGAAAAAAAGGATAAAAGGCGGAAGAATCAGAGGAGGTAGAGATTAGGGAAGCATGCAAATTAATTGATGAGTGGCGGCGGAAGAAATAGGGGGAAAATGGGATAAAGAATAGAGAGGCAGAATGATAGGTAAGATAGGAAGATAAAAAGTTAGATATTGACATTGGCTTGGAGAGAGAAATAGAGGGGAGAAAATGGATAGAAGGTGGGAGAAACCAGAGAGGAGTAGTAGGGGGAAGATGCCAAATTAACGAGTGGCGTGAAAGAGAAATAGGGAAAGACGGATAAAGATAGAGAGGCAGAGACGGTAGATGGAGATTGAAAAATTATTCATGAGTTTAGCGGGAGAGAAATAGGGAATGACGGATAAAGATAGAGAGGCAGAGATGGGCAGGATGAAAATTGATAATGAGTTGGCGGGAGGAAAATAGGGGAAAGAAGACGGCTCAAATGAGGATAGAGAGGCAGAGATGGAAGAGATGCAAAAATTAACGGTAATGGCGGTTTTGAAGGGTCGAGGAAAATAGTAGGAAGAGAGGATAAATATTGGTGAGGGACAGAGTTGACAAGGACGGCCAGTGCCGAGGGAGGGGGATTAAAGCGGCGAAAGGTCGGAAGGCAAGAGGAGAAGTGGTATGGCCAGGACACACAGGAAAGCGGCGGAAAAGGAAGGAGTGAGTGTCAAAGTGAGGGGAGGAAGGCCAGAGGCCACAAGCGCATAAGCCTGAACGGATTAGATTCGACCCATTAAGACCAGAGCCAAGGAAGGAATGGCCATTAATACCAGGAGAGAGATTATGAACAGGGGAATGAGGAGATTGGAAACAGCTGGAGAGAGAGAGATGGAACAAGTGAGTGAGAGGGAGATTGGAAACAGGAGAGGAGACTTGGAAACAGAGAGGAGATGGTTGGAACAGGAAGATGGAGAGGGAACAGGAAGAGGAGATGGATAAAGGAATCGGAGGAGATGGGAACAGTTGAGAGGAGATGGAACAGGAGAGGAAGATGGATTATGGAACAGGGAGAGGAGGATTCACTGGAACAGGAGAGGAGATGGAACAAAGATGGAGGAGAGGAGATGGAACGGGTGAGAAGGAGATGGAAACAGGAGATTGGAGATTGGAACAGGCGAGAGGAGATGGAACAGGTGAGAGGAGATGGAACAGGAGAGGAGATGGGAACCAGGAGAGGAGGTATGGGGAACAGAGGAGATCTGGATGGAACAGGAGAAGGCGAAGATGGAACAGGAGAGGAGATGGAACAGGAGAGGAGATGGAACAGGAGAGGAGATGGAACAGGAGAGGAGATGGAACAGGAGAGAGAGAGATGAGGAACAGGAGAGAGACAGGAACAGGAGAGGAGATTGGAGAGGAGATGAACAGGAGAGGGAGAGCAGAGAGGAGATGGAACAGGAGAGGAGATGGAACAGGAGAGGAGATGGAACAGAGGAGAGGAGATGGAACAGGAGAGAGATGAACAGAGAGGAGATGGAACAGGAGAGAGAGAGGAACAGGGAGGAGATGGAAACAGGGAGGAGACAGGATGGAGATGGAGGAGAGGAGATGGAACAGGAGAGGAGATGGAAAAAGGAAAAAATGCATTTCCAGGGGAAGGAAGAGAGGAGAAAGAGAAGACGGAGATCAAAGACTTCTTCCACACAACGTCTTCTCGGGGAGGATCTTGGAGTGACTGCGACGAAGTGAAGGAGGAGGAAAAAGGAGGAAGCGAAGATGAAGAAGCAGAGATGGCGAGGAATGAGATGGGGAATTAGGAAGAGGAGTATAGTGATGGAGATGAAAAAGTAAAAACAAAAATGAAATAAAAGACAAAGAGAGGAGAGTAGTGATATCAGGAAGAAAAGAAAAATATAAATAATTATCATATATTTACTAAGATTATATGCATTCATACGTATCCCATCTTAACAATTACTTGATTCTTCTTATTACATGAGACAGCACATGCCGTAGACCATGATATGTGACGCACACTTAGATATAGGATTAGGATTGAACAGATAGATATAAAATAGAGAGATAGACGGGTGAAAAGTGCCACTGGAGGGGGGGGGTTGATGGAAGGAGAGAAGGAGAGACAAAGAGAAAGGAGAAAGGGAGTGGAAGGAGAAGAGAGAGAGAGAGAGAGGAGAGAAGAGAGAGAGAGAGAGAGAGAGAGAGAGAGAGAGAGAGAGAAGGAGAGAGAGAGAGAGAGAGAGAGAAGAGAGAGAGAGAAGAGAGAGAGAGATGAGAGAAGAGAGAGAAAAGAAGAAATATATATATATACATAATATATATAATTATATATATATATATATATATAATATATATATATATATATATATATGTATGTATATAAGAGAGAAAAGATATATATATATATATATATATATATATATATATATATATATATATATATAGATATAGAGAGAGAGAGAGAGAGAGAGAGAGAGAGAGAGAGAGAGAGAGAGAGAGAGAGAGAGAGAGAGAGAGAGAGAGAGAGAGAGAGAGATGAGAGAGGTGGGAGGGAATGAAGAGAGAGAGAGTGGGTATTATCCATAAGGACTCTCATAACGTAAAACATGGTCGGCCCATTTCTCTTTAACCTCCACTTCGCCAGTCTTTCGTCTAACTTATTTGCTTGAAGTAGTCGTTGAGTCATCTTCGTATTTGTCGTTTATGCAATCACGTGGTTTCTGATTGCTATTATGCTACATTTTTCATTTCTTTCTCTTTTTGACATGTTGAATACTGCTTTTCTGGATTTGCAATAGTGCTGGTTTGATTATTCTTTACTATATATGATTTGTTGAAGGCTCTGGAACGAAACTTTCTCGTGTGTGTGTGTTGTGTGTGTGTGTGTGTGGTGTGTGTGTGTGTGTGTGTGTGTGTGTGTTGTGTGTGTGTGTGTGTGTGTGTGTGTGTGTGTGTGTGTGTGTGTGTGTGTGTGTGTGGTGTGTGTTGTGTGTGTGTGTGTGTGTGTGTGTGTGTGTGTGTGTGTGTGTGTGTGTGTGTGTGTGTGTGTGTGTGTGTGTGTGTGTGTGTGTGTGTGTGTGTGTGTGTGTGTGTGTGTGTGTGTGTGTGTGTGTGTGTGTGTGTGTGTGTGTGTGTGTGTTGTGTGTGTGTGTGTGTGTGTGTGTGTGTGTGTGTGTGTATGTATGTATGTATGTATGTGCCGTGCGTGCATGTATTGCCTACAATTTAACGACAAAGCACGATACATTACAAAACATCTTTATGTAGCATTCATAGAACTACGAACTACGAACGCCCTTACACGAACGCGTAGGCTGTAAACAACTCCCTTTTCTAAAATGCAACTCTTATTCCCGAAATGACGAAAAACACAATTACACAATCACTCGATATCCAAGAATGATAAGAGCATCATTAAAATAATTCAATGTGAGATTATTTCACTACGGTATATATAAATAAAACATCGCATAAAGCAAATCAAAGTAAATTTATTCCATAGAGTGTGTATCAGCTGGACCGGAAAGAGAAGGGAAAGTGTAGTAAGTGAAGACCTCCTCCTCATTTTCTTCTCATACACAGTTTATTTAGAGGAATTTAGCATGATAGACACCCTTTTGAGATGCATATGCTGTTAGTTTCGTTCGTGTGCTTTTATTGAGTTTAGTTTTATTTATTTGTGGTCACTGAAACAACGGGAATTCATATGGTCCATAACATATGTAATTTATATTTTTGTTAAGGAAGAATGTCACGTAGCTTAGTGTTCAGAGTCACTAGTAGTAATGTAGTTTTCAATTCATGTAATAGATCATATTATTTAGAATCCCAATCTTTTGTGCTGATGTGTTCTACCTCAAGTCGGGAGTCACTATATCCACAACACTGAAATACAATTAATTAGGTAGTAATTATCATCTTTGAAAATTACAGAGAGTGATGCACAGGGTTAGTGGGAAATGGACACTGCCACCTTATAGCACATAAGATATAGAGTCATAAACAACACAGGTGCTTCTGTTGCGGCCTCATATTTACAGCAATATTATGAAAATATCTGCTGCATAACACTGCTCAGAGATAAAGTCCACAACATCCTCACACGGTCAGAGTTCTAAATGTCTCTTTTATGTAAGTTGGCACAAAGATCAAATAAATACCGCTTGATAGGGCTTGACCCCCTTGTCTAGAGTATAAGTAGAAGGTAGGAAAGGTTAGGTTTTGTTTTTTTTGGTTGGCATGATACCCTAGTTTTGGAAAATAGTCTCTGGAGTGTGCGTCACTTGCAATAACAAATACCAGTGTACTTGAGAAGCATTTTTTGCATTGAATGTTAGAGGATATTGAGATAAGAATTTAAATTTGTTGAAAATCACT